GTCTAGCCTGCTCTTTTGTTGCTTCTGTCATGCCACCTTGAGCATAAAACATGACCTACATCAGCTTCTCTATCATCCCATTGTGGACAGGCTTTTATCATATCGTCGGTGGACAATCGTGTTTGTTTTACATGGACGATGATAATAATTTCATGCCCTAGTTACAAGTTTACTGCGGTTGTCATGGATACTGTGTATACAAATCTCCAGGATGACGTCTACTCCCTTTGACATCGGACCGAGTGTCACATGAGCTTTGCGCAACAATCCCCACAGTTATATCTCTGATTAACTTTTCGATACGTATCAATATTGGGTCACAGATCTTTATCTTAATCATAATCACAATGTTGATTGTAAAACTTTGTCGACCTTTGATAGAACTTACAGGTACCGGTATCTAGATTTGTAGATTTGACTCGTCTGTTTGTTGAGATGATGTAAAAGGGTTTTGATATTGCCAACTCATGAATCCATTGCTCATACGCATCAATTAATTTATTACCGGTACACATCGTCTACACTATCAATTAGAATAATATTGTCATTTATTAAATTGTTAAAGTTTTGCATTTACAGTACCCGGTAGTTCACATTTTTTGAATATTTAACACCTAAATTAGTCTGTTTGTATTGGCACCTTTTAATCTCAGAACTTTTATTGAGCATATGTAGACAACTGTAAAGAACTTTTTCGAAATAGGAACTCGATTGAATAAGATGATAGGAACTGAATTCAATAATATGATTATACTAATGAGAAATTGGGGGGCTTTGAGAAAGGGGGCAACTTTCACTTAGCCCCAGTGTATTTGAGGGTTGGTCAAGAACTTTGTAGGTGTTGCTACTCAGGGAATGCTAATTCCCTGTTAAATGCAATGAAAATCAAAGGTTTCCAGTGTGCTTTTGTTCGATAGGCAAAGTTTGCTTCTATGATTGCATCAATCAGAGGTTACAGGTCGAGTTCTAATAGGAGCTTTGATAAAAGAAGCGACTTCTAAAAAGTTTTAAGCTACCCCAACTAAAGGACTTCTAACCACTTTGTATGGGTTGAGTCTGTTCAGGTGTGAAAACTTGTATTTGTTCCTGATATTTAAGGACAGCTTTAGGGGGATTAAGAGAGCAAGAGAGGATTAAAGTTCTATGGTTGTTAATCTGTTAGCATAACTGTTAACAGTTATAAACTGGAGCAGTGTAGGAAATGTTGGTCATTTTGTGTACATAGGGATATTTCTGATGGGAAATGAAATGTTTACATGAAGTTTAGATTGATGCACTTCAAAAATGATGAGACACGCCAAAATTTCTTTTAAAAATCCCTTTTGAAATATTCAACAAACATTTTGATTAAAACTATTCATTGTGTTTCTTTTCAAACAGTTTAAAGCAATGTTTGACAAAGAACATATTGAAATAAACAAAAAAGGGAATCGTTAAATGGGTTAAAAGATCCTGCATAAAGAGATTTTTCGGTTATTTTGACAATCCTTTTCCTTGAGATGCATAAAAGTGTGTGTTCCTTTTCAAACAGTTCAGGGAAAAAGACGAAGACAAACATTTTTGGTTATGCTTGAGAATGTTGAATTGTAAGTTGAAGAGATTATAGAGCTCATAGTTAGTTTGGATATTCCCTTTCCCCCTAAAAATGTTTTCATTATGAAAGAAAAAAATTGCGATCAGATGCTTGGCCTCATCAGAGAGTTCACCCCCAAGTGTCTTGCTGATAGAGCTGTTTCACTTTTAAAGAGATGGTCCAGTTCTGGTAGAAGATGAAACAAAACATGTGAGTTTATTCTTGCTTTTATGTCAGTTTGGATGGATATCATTAACTGCATTCGCACAGCAAGCAAAAACTCACATTCTGGAGTTTTGTCAGAGTAGCTATGCTATTTCCCATATACATTACACAAACTCACCTCTGGATTGTTCTTTTATTTCCTAAAAACTCCCTAAAAAAACTCCCTAAATACATGTAAACCCTGAAATAATTTCTCACTAAATATGTGCAAGCAATGAAAAGACAACTTTGAGGCAACTTTATGATTAAAGCATACTGTTTTGGAATGCACTGTGTAGATTTGCAATACCTTCAAAGCTATAGAATATGTGGAAAATTTTGAATTCAAGAATAGGTTGGATGTATCAAATTATCAGCAAAGACAAAAAAGATGTTGTGTTCATGAATATTATGATATGCCAGCCTTAAGATTTTGAAACCATGTTGAATCTTCATATTTCTACCTCAGAAAATATAGGTAAATAAACAAATATGAGATGATGGTAAGCTCTAAAAGTTGGATCTCTGTTCTAAGGTGGTTTAATTTTTGTATGAAAGTACCTCTCAAATCAATAGCCATATTCTCTTGAGAGCAGACTCGTGAATGATTGATAAATGTCATGCTGTTTATAGTCAGCCAAAGCTCAATATATCCTTACTCCCTGCTGCGTGATGAAACAGATAGGTTAAGCCTTTTGTCAGCCTCTCTGATCTTTAAATGTGTATCTGAAGTGCTTATTGATTGTTTTAATGATAACAAAAAGTTATTTCGAGCATTGTGTATTGACCTATGTAGACTTTTATTGATAATTTGGAATTATTGAAAGAATGTTTACAGTTGTCAAGTCAATAGATGTATTGATTCCACTATTCAACAACCGTTCCTAATCAAAAAAAAATTGCATTTACTTTGCGTGACGATTGTCCTCACTACCGTCACTTCGTGAAAACGGACGAATTATCAGACATTATACTGTTTATGGTGAAGTAGATATACAAAAAGATAGGAACTTTGTATTGTTTTACATCAATTAGGTTTATTACCAAAGAACAGGTGGTTTAAGGATACTCTAGTTAATAGGAAAGATATCAATTATGAGAAAGTGAAAGAGTGTGAGTATAATAATTTTGTATTGAAAGATATTCCTCAGATCCCAGAGCACCTTTTCAGGCTAGCTGGGCTAATGCCTGGGTAGTAGTATTATGCAGAGCTAAGAAACATTAGTATTATGTGCTATTAAATGTAGTACTATTATCAGCATTATTATTGATTGGAGAAAAGTGAATTTAAAAAAAAAGGCATATGAGATAGATGGAGAGAGAGAGGGGGGGGGGGGGGGTAAGGGGCAACATTGTATGAAGTGGAATAAGACGGGAAGAGAATATCAAAATAAAAAAAGGATAAATGGAGAGAGGAAGAAAGAAAAACGCGTTTGAGAAGTTGGTATGGGGAAATACCGGTAAATGACTCCACCATGACATAGTATATTAAATTCTAACAAATATAAGGAACAATTCAAAAAGACATTTTCAATTCCTTCCCTATAGATGGCAAAAGCAACAGTGGCTTTTAATATAATGTAGGGATCATATTGAATTGGGAAAGGATACAGGAAATGGCTCTATTCAATGAAAGGCACCTGTCACGACATATACCCAAATCTCTCTCTCTCTCTCTTTTTCCCTCTCCCTTCTTTCTCTCTCTCTTTCTCCCCATCTCTCTATTTCTCACTCTCCCTCTCTCTATTTCTGTCTTTCTCTATTTCTTTTTCTCTCTCCTTCTCTCCCTCTCCCTCTCTCTCTCTATCTCTCTCTTTCTATCTTTCTCCATTTCTCTCTCTTTTTCTTTCTCTATTTCTGTTTCTCTCTCTACACCAGTTTACTGATTTAAAAAAAAAATGTAGTTATAACATTTATCCAAATAAGTAATAAAGTGATTTATGTGAATCAAAAGATAACTGACCCTAGCTTACTTTAAGAATGAAAAAGTGGGAACACAGCACCGATTTCATTATGAGCCTGAAGAAAATTATGAATGGTGGGTGAATTTTTTTCAACAGATGATAAGACTGTGTAGTTATTTCAACAAATGTATTGATTTTGAATCCAATATTTCATCAAAACCTTTGAGTAGAAACCTCACATTGACCTGTAGAGAGCCCAGGGCGCGAGAGGTTCAGCCCATACATTCTAACCCTTTTCAGGTTTCCTCCTTCTTTGTGACTCCATTGCTGCATTCATGAAAAGTACTTGTTGATTCTTGATGAAAGATTCAGGCACATTATTTCCCTGACTTTCTGAAACCTGCAATGATTTATTGATTTGTCATCACCTTTCCTCTTTCTAAAGATCTCAGTGTCCTGGGCCCCATTTCACAAAACTTGTCATCGGTAACAAATGACAGTTTATGTTATAAGCTACTGAAGTCCTTGCTTCTGATTGGTTGTCAGCAGATTTGTCACTGATTTTCGTAAATTGTCATTGAAAAAAGGCTTTGTGAAACATCCCCCAGATTATGACTTAACAGGAATCACATCTAGGATAAGAAAAGATTTCAGTGCGTTTAAAATAAAGAGGACAAATCTAGACCCGGATAAAAATGGCATGGATTTATCTCTCTCATTTCTCCCTTCAGCATTTATCTTTGTATTCTTTATTTATCGTTGATTCCATAACCATCATTCTCTGAATGTATTTGTAAGGTGAACGATTCAGTGTACAATTTTTTTTTCTTCACGTGAATGATTTTGTACTCTACATTGACTGGAATCCTTCAGAGCTAGATGTTGTATTTGCCTATGAGAAATGAAAAAAATAATCAATCTCAATTTACACTGAAAGTGTATTAAAAATTATCACATTGTGTTCTTTATGTATTTAAAGATTTCTTCACCAACATGTAATTTGTCATGATTCCATTAATGATTATGTATAGCTTATGATATGAATATCTGATTTGTGAATGAAGTCTTCTAAATTGCTCACATACCTTTACCATAATGCAAACCATCTCTTGAGCTTTGATCTTCAGAGATACCATTATTCCACCAAAGATCCGGATTGATTCATAATTGTGTTGACTCTCTGATAGCTTTGATAAGGCACTTTGTTATCCTATTTGATGATGATATGGACTTTGCCCAGAAATATGATGCACTTCAGAATAGAGGTTGGTTGTAGATTTAACATGTTCTCTTCTTTGTGTGCTCTTTGAATCGATAGATGGACGATGTGGCAGTATGGAAGTGGTCATCACCAGTGCTAATGAGACGTCGATGCCATGCCCAGCGGCTCCGGGTGGCAACTTCAGGCAGAACCGCTTCCGCCAACCGGGAAGCCACCAGAACCAGCAGCAGAGCTTCAATTCAACTCATCACCGGCAGGGCACCTCGGAAAGGAGCGTGTCGCCAGCGGCCAGTGACCTCTCCAGCATTCGCCTCGGTCAGCACCATCCTCCCACCAGTGCGTCCAGCGACAGACATCTCCTGGACGTGAAGCAGGAATGGGGGAGCAATCGACAGGGAGGACATGGAGGTGGCCCAGGATCTCAGGCAGGAAGTGACGTTGCTGACCAATCCTTGATGCCCCCTGGCTCAGCCATGTCTCACTATGCCAGCAGCTTCAACTCTCTCTCCCCATTCCCCCTTGAACTATCACCATCAGGTTCCAGTTTTGCGAGTCCAAGACATTCTGCAAGGTCTTGGACTTCTGCGTGGGGGTCGAAGAAACGATCATTGTCCATTTCTCCACTCTCTTCAGAAGGCATGGACTTGAACTCTCTCATTCGCACTAGTCCAACATCCCTGGTGGCTTTTATCAATGGCCAATCCAGAGGATCATCTGCTTCAATATCACCCTTCCAGGGGTATCAGGTAGGTGATTATGGTCACCTGTCTGCCCACAATAGCAGCAGTCCCATGTCACAAGTGTCCTCCTTGGGATTCACCCAGGTGTCTGCCGCTGGGTCGGTGAATGGAGACAAGATGCCTCCTCCCTATCAACAGCTCAAGCAGGTGTCCCGCCAGTATGGGGTTACGGACCCGCAGATCGTCACACAGCAGATGCAAGCCATGGAAAGCGCAAACACCATGACCAATGAGACAGGGATGAACAGTCAGTTGATTGTGCAGCCACAGGAAGAAGCTCTACAAGATTATGCAAACAACTTTCCAAGCTACCAAGTGTACAAACAGGAGCCTATAGAGCAAGGCTTCAACGAGACCTCAGGCTTTTCACAAGGGCAGGAATATCCGCAAGGACAGTTCCAGCCAGGGACGGAACAACCCCACCAAGTGCCACCTCAACTTCCCCAGCATCATCACCCACCACAAGCCCTGCCTCAACATTCCCCTCAAGGAGCCCAGAACCTTCCCCAGCAGAGTCCAGCCTTCTCTCAGAACCAAACCTACTCCAATTCTCAGACATACCAACAAAACCCTACCTTCACCCAGCATTCCACCTACCCACCCAACAACAACTACCCTCCGATCCAGGGGAACTACAACCCTCCCATTTCTGGTCAGTATGCACTGGCACCAGGACAGCTTCCGTCCATGACTACCCACCCCCTCCCGGCCAACATGCCCCCTCCTCCACCCTACCACGCCCAGCACTTTGAGTCCAGTGCCAACCACTCGCCCCCCATCATCAACACCAACCCCCACGGTTCCCCCATTTCCACCTCCACTCCCAAACTGGGGTTGGAAGTGGAGGAGAAGATCTGCAGGTGGATCGACTGCAACGCCTTCTTCGAGGAGCAGGAGGAACTCGTCAGGCACATAGAGAAGGTGCACATCGACCAGAGGAAAGGGGAAGACTTCACCTGTTTCTGGCAGGGGTGCACGAGACGCTTCAAGCCTTTCAACGCTCGCTACAAGCTTCTCATTCACATGCGCGTGCATTCTGGAGAGAAACCTAACAAATGCACGGTGAGTAGACAAAACTAAAACACTTTAACCCATTAACACTCTCTTTTCCAGAAAGTTAACATATCATTAATTGTGAACATGAATTCATTATGACAGTATTTACAGAGTTATTAGCATCTGTACCAATCATATTTCCTCACAGGAAGCCATATCAATTCCTATCTTCTTTTTTATGAATTAAAAACAACCAGTTAGTATGAGGCCAACAACTATATATAGATTTATGGAAAGCTTGTGTATTTTTATCAGTGTATCTCATGATAGCGTTCACTTTTTATAAATATTGATTCTCTTGGGAAGCCATCTTCTCAATCAATTTTTAATCCACCTGTCAGGATTAAAAAAATATTGACTGTTTCTTTAAATGGGTGAGCTAGGCATTAGTGCATAAGGTGGAAGCATACATGGGTATGCATGGCTTCACTTACTTTGATTTTTCATTAAAATTTTGAGGAGAAGGGTAAATTTTGGAAAGTTGAAAAATTAATTTCTAAGCTTTGATGTTCTCCTTATATTATTTTCAAATTTGGAAAATTAGTATAATAATAATAATAATAATAATAATAATAATAATCTTTTAAAGTCCACTCCAAATTTTATTAAACCGAAAATGGAAATTCTTTTGCCCAATTGATCGTGAGCCCGGCAGCCACTGAGCAGCGCCAGATCGACGTTGCTCTATCCTCTATTGTTGAACGCCAAACAAGGTAGCAGCAACTCCCGTCTTTTAACGTCCTTTAATGTCCTCTGATAGTGATTGGTCTTCAAATGCCTTCATATTGACAAATATGAAAAGAAATGGATGCAATAGTGCAAATAATGTTTAGCAAGAATGTTTCTTTTTTATTTTGATCATTCCAAAACCTCACAGTGTAAACAAGCTCTCATGTACTGCAAAATCAACTTCTCCAGATTGCTTCCAGACACTTTTCAGAATATGGTGCAAACATTTTTAGGATCCACGATATTTCAAACGATAGTTCCGTTGGGAACCTCTATCCTTTTGTCGATGTGTCTCCCAATCATTTTCATGAAATTAAATGTTTTGTTGTATAGTGCACTTAGCATTTAAAAAAGTACCCTGGCCTTATATTATAGGAAAAATTCAGTCATCTTTTCTTTCTATCGCGATAACAGGGTTGTTTTACAGGGTATTTCTGCGGAAATCGTAAAAATTGTCTGATCTTTATATCTATGCAGCATCTCCCTTGAGTCCGACCCTCTCCCACCATCTGTTCAAATGCTCAGATCTGTCCATAGAACTGACAGAAATAGAAATTCCACAGAAGAGGAAAATATATTTTAATTCTTTCACCCACCCTAGCTGTCTAGTCCTTCATCCATTACATGGTTGTTATTTTATCACCTTGCCATAAATTGACTGCCCTTTTTGGCGCCAATACCCAACGGAATGTACAAATTCTCAATTCACAATTTTCCTGTTATGTAAAGAAGGACTTGCTTCAATGAGAGGTGCCTTCAGAAATATACAACTTTCTTTCTTTTTTGTAAACTCCCCTGAAAAGCATGGCTCTTCAAATGCCTTGATATTCTAAATATTGCATGAAATGGCATAAACATTGGGACAAATTTTTATGCCACCTGTTCGTGTAGTCCCATATACATCTTTCTGTGTACAGTGCTTGTTACTTTACCAAGACTGGGCCAAATTTCTTATCAATCGATGATTCCAGAACCTTGCAGTACACATCAATACTTATATGGTAGATGATCAACTTTTTCTGATTGATCCCACAACGTTTCTTTCACAAAGCAATCGCATAACCAGAACTCAACTTTATCTTTAAGACGACTTTATTCTTAGTAATGATCTTGTAGGCCTAATATGACATTATACAACTTTTTTTAAAGGGGAGAAGGTCATTGAAAATAAGAAGAAGGCATATAAAGTTGAGTCACAGGTTGGAGTATTTACCCCATACTCATTGGTCCTATAATTTATGTACATCCTTGCCCTGTTTATGGATCAAGTTCAAGGGTCAGGAGCTTTGGATCTGTGACTTTGACCTCTGAACTCTCATACCTAAACTGGGTCATTGCTAGACCAGTCCCTGTTTGATGTCATAGGAGCCGTCGGCCTTGACCCTGAACCTCCTACGCACACCTGTCCAACGATCAGTTTGAACTGGAGACTAGCTTGGAGTCTTTTACATAAAATCCTACTTATACAGTGTTCAGCCACAGTATATAGACGTTTTGAAATACGTTTTTATGAAACAGGGTCAGTCCTAGACCAGTCCCTGTTAGATCTCATAGGAGCCGTCGGCCTTGACCCTGAACCTCCTACGCACACCTGTCCTAAGATCAGTTTGAATTGGAGACGCTAGCCTTTTACATACATAAAATCCTACTTAGTGGTCTGTTCAGCCATAGTTTATAGACGTTTTTAAAAATGTTTTAAGAAACAGGGCCCTGATGGGCATCAACTCATATAATTGTATATAGACTTAAATAATGCCCTTCTGGCTCATAGCAGATGAACTGGTCAGTGGTCACATTAATATGTGCATCAGACTCACTCCAATTTTTGTCTCTGCTTATATACAATAATTCATGTGTACAATTTGAAAGCTATCAAAGGTAGATCTGATGTGAAAAAGAATGTTATATTAAAACACCACAACTTGCATTAATGATGGGTATGCATGCATTTCAATAATGCGAAAAATTGCAAACGTGCTCATGGAATGAGAGGGTTAATTCCGGATACCAGGATTTTCTTCACAACTTCAAGAAGCTGTTTTCTAGCCAACCTTCCCAGTCCCTTGAGCATCATGCACCTCACTCCCTAGCCTCAAAGGAGGAGGAGTATGAAAGATGCACAAGCAGAACATAATCTGAATGTGACATCTCAGGTCAGGGGTCACAGGTCACAATGTCAAGGTGAGAGATATCTGATAAGACAAGACAACATCAGAATGCCTTGAGTTTTTCCCTCACACTTTCATCCAGTGTGTCCTTGCTCATCTCTCCTCACCCAGGAGTCATTTTTTCATTACCACCATCGTGCCATCTCAGGATGCTTTATTGTTTTTAGCATACCTGGAGGGAGGATCGAGGGCGCAACTGAAATAGCTAGGCCAAGTTCAGCTAGAGGCCCAGTCTTTATACGACTTGTGACTGGGTGTAGGAACAGAGATGATATATCTCTCATTTCTATGATTACTTCAGTGTATACCTGGAGGGAGGGAGGACGCAACTGAAATGAGAAAGACCAAGTTCAGACGCCCAATCTGAGTACAACCTGTGACTGGTAGTACCATCACATCCGACTGAAACTGACTGGAAAGAACATCTGAAATGTGGCACATAATTGCTCTTTGAAGTATGTAGGCCTATATGATAACAACTAATTACTTTTCTTTTCTTTCTTTAGCAACTTTGTGTAAAAAAAGAATTAGTAAGAAGGCAGCCTTTATATAGCCCTTTATTACTCTTGTTTAAAGTTTACAGACGAACATAAATATAAATTTTCTTTAAATTCCTCTCTAAATTTTGACATCTAATTATTTTATTATGAATTGTGAAAAATTCCACTTCAGATTGAATGAATTGGCCAGCCCTGGTGGATAGTTTGTTACTTATAATGACATTATACTAAAAACAATTATCCACAAGCATTTTGTACATTTGTAAACACTGCAGTGAATTATTAGTTTGTAGTAAATACTAAATGAGTGGCCTTCATTTATGTTTGCGAATTAATTCCTAAAGGTTTGATCAAAACCAATGTCTACATCATTTATTCAATATCATTCGACTTTCATCAATTTTCTTACTAGATGAACCACTCTTGGACTTCCTAACTGAATTCCTTTGTGGCCTATGACCTTCCAGTTAAGTGAGAACAAAATGGAGCTTTGCTGACATATGTATTTAAATCATGAATCATTCCAGATTTTGCCACAAGTTCAAGCCAACTGCATCATTTGGAGACCATAAAATAATCTCCCCAAGGCCCCAAATATTTTTGTCTGAGGAGAGCAACATATATTTCTTCCCGCTGTATTTGTTGGTCTTTTTTTCAAGGGGTTTGGGATCCTGGGAGGGGTCGAGAAGGTTATTGGGAGGTGTGATTATTCTTGCAGTTTCGTAACTCCGAAAACATTGGAGGAAGGAGTCAAAATGAGGTCAGATTTTATTATGAGTGCACCCAAATTGTTTGAGAAGTTAGGGTGTCAATTTATAGTGCTTGACCTGAAACAGACAGGCTTAATGTTAGCGCTGGGAGGAGAGCTGTGTTTTTTTCCCCCCAAGAGGTCGTTTATTTGCTGATTTGAAATGCTGATTTATGTTGCATTACCATCAATTATTTAAACGCCTGAAGCTACCATTTGACATTTTAAAATTCATGTTGAAAGAAATAGATTTTGGAAAGTGCTTGCTATAGTTGATTGTACTGTAGGCCTATGCCTATTGTATTCGTCCACAAGTGATTAATTTAGGGATGTAATAGGAGTAGAATTTTTAGTCTTATTATTAAATCATACAAAAGAATCAACACTTTATTTTTCTCTATCAAATGTTTGTAACGATATAGCGAAATTAGGGATGTTTTCTTCTTGCTTTTGAAAAACTCTGTCATAGTTTTGACTTTTGATAGGTCTAAGGCTAGAGTATGAGATTCACTTATGTTGTTATAATAGTGATCTGTAGATTATCTGTGTCTGATTAACCCCAATACTGTCAATAAAAGGCACCTTATGCATGTAGCCTACCATTTTTTTTTTTTTTATACACAACAGTTCTTCATCTAATCTAAGTATGGGCCCACAATCATCTTGACTTTTAAATATTGCCAGCGAAGAAAAAAAACAGAGGGAAGATGATGAAAGCAGATCATTGTACAGTAGCATCAAGAAATTCGTCTTCCATTCTCTGCCACTGTCTATGGTTAATTGCACCAGCAGAGCTTCACTTTGTACAACGACAAGTAGTTTGCCTTTTCAAATCAGGAAAGAAACCAAGAAAATCCTGCA